AAAAGTAAATAAATAAAAAGTGAGATTAGAAATAACTTTCTTGTGCAAGGCATAGCGGATACTGACTAAGTTAGGGTTCTTTGGTGTAAGGTTCTGATTTAAGAAAAGAGTAAGAGGCAGTTAAACTGTTAACATAAGCTAGAGATCAGAAAGATGGATAATTTGATACCGGGTTGGATGGGCTGATAAAAGTGGAAAGTTGGCAGCAAAGAGGGATTTGTTCCTAAGAGAAATTATTCTAGGCACAGAGAAAGGAATAAAGAAAACAAGATTTGCTGAACAGGTGTTGAAAACTACTAATAGCCAGAACTGTTAGATCAAAGATTCACTAAATATGGAGATGTAAACCCTAAAAAAGAGGAGTAGGGGCGGAGAGGGGACTCTCCTGAGTCAGCATCAATAACCTCAAGGAAAAAGCTCAGTAATTATTTCATGTGGAATTATACTCGATTTATTAATTTCAGGGAAGACACTGTATTCCTGTTTAAAAAAAAAAATACCTGCACCACATGTAGTTTATGCTCTAGTACTTCCTCACATGATAATAAAGCAGCTATATCGAGCTTATGTGAGATCAGATCATTACACAATGAGAGGCAATAGAGCAGTAGATTTAAAAAAAAAAAACAGATTAAATCTATCAAAAAGAAATAAATTAAAATACCAACTCAGGAGCCAGACCACTTTGGGCAAGTCTCTTCATTTCTCTGGGCTTCAGTTTCTTCATGTGCAAAATGAAGATACACATTTCCTATCTCATAGGATTTTTGTGAGGCTTAAATAGTACATGTAAAATACCCAGAATTGTGCAAGGCACAAAGTGCTACATGAGTACCAGCTGTTGCTGCAGCTACTACTACTACCACCACTACTATTACTACCACCACCACCTACTACTACTACCACTACTACCACTACCACTACTACCATTATTACTACCACCACCACCTACTACTACTACCACTACTACCACTACCACTACTACTACCACCTACTACTTACTATTATTAACTACTGCTAACTACTAGTACTACCATTAACTACTAACTATTACTACTACTACTACCACCACTACTATTACTACCACCACCACCTACTACTACTACCACTACTACCACTACCACTACTACTACCACCTACTACTTACTATTATTAACTACTGCTACTAACTACTAGTACTACCATTAACTACTAACTATTAGTACTACTACTTCTTGGGGTAAGCTAGCAACAAAACACAAAAGAGAAAGCTAGGGTACCAAGGCCACTGCCTGGAAGAGAAACCCTAAGAGAAGGCATCTCCAATCTCCTACTGAGGAAGGGTTACTTTTCAGGTCCCTCAAGTCTTGATTCACTCTGGGGACAGTAGGGACACGACGGTAACACTGAGTTTTGTTACTCGAATTGAGGAGAGGCCATCACTGCTGGCTGTCCTTCCCTGACTGCTGGGAAGCAAGAAAGACAGCAAAGAGAGCAGTGACAATAGCAATTAGCTTGGAGATCTACCAGGAAGAGCATTAAGATCTAAATGTTGGCACTTCACTCTCGGAGAGTTGGAGCAGAAGTTACCAGGGAAGTTGTATAAAAAGACGCGCCAACAGTCTGTCAGACACCACCGGAACCAATTCTACTAACACAACAGGGACACAGTAGGGAAACACTATCTTAAATTTGTGGGGCCCTCCTTGTGAAACTATTTCCCAGTGTTCTAAAATGTGTTGTTTTCAGAAAATCAATGTAATGCCTTTGAAACAAGCCCAAATAGCAACAGTCAGATGAAGATCATTACCTTACCAGAGCTAGCTATACCGAGTTATATTTCAACAGCTAATGCCATTTCAAATCACTACCTAAACCTTAGTTAACAATAATTTGTCTCTGAAGACATTTATGATCTAAATTATTCAGGCTAAACGAAACAACTTAAAACTTCTCTATTAAAAGTAAACAAAAGGGGCCGGCCCCAGCGGTTAAGAGCGCATGCTCTGCTTTGGCGGCCCAGGGTTCGCAGGTTTGGATCCCGGGTGCGCACCGACACATCACTTGTCAAGCCATGTTGTGGCGGCATCCCAGTAAAGCAGAGGAAGATGGGCACAGATGTTAGCCCAGGGCCAATCTTCCTCAGCAAAAAAGAGGAGGACTGGCATCAGATGTTAGCTCAGGGCTGATCTTCCCAAAAAAAAAAAAAGTAAACAAGAGAAACATGACAACTATCTTAATGTAATATTACCAATCTTAGCATAAACCAAGTTTACCCTGAGCATCATATTTTCTATGAGATCAAACAGATAGTCATCAAAAAATAAACCAGTATTCTGAGAAATAAATAATTCATTCAAAAAATAAACCAAAATTCTGAGAAATGCAAACATTTTGATTTCCCAACATCTACTCCTTGCCAGTTTAGTAAATCAATCAAGATAATCTTGCCTGCTACCCCACCAATGATTATTTTAGGAATGGTCAGGCCGATGCCAACTTGGGCACTAGGATTGAATGTTATGGTCTATGGGTGGCAGAGCTGAGGTGCAGAGAGAATATGGATCTTTGATGACCTGCTTCTAGACTTCCCCTTACATGAACTATCAAGTTTTCTAATTATTTAAACTGGTTTTATATTTGTACCCTAAGCATACTAATTTACACATTTTGTTTTCTAGGTCTATCACTACATAAGAACATCATCTGTGTTCATTTACATGTTAGCAAAAAATACTTATCCTACTTTAAACAACCTGATACACATAGCTTCATTAAAATAAACAGGTTTTATTGACAGTTAAATAGGAATATTCCAATAACTTTCTTTAATAATTTCCAGACATTTTCCCCTTTAATATTTATCAATAAAGTAGAAAACTAATAAAAATACTTAAAAACATCAAACTCTCAACTTGACATAAAATTTTAGTTATATAATAGCATTACTTTTTAAAGCACAAAAAAATATAACTTGTAGACTCTAAAATATTAGTCATGTTCATACTATTTAAGTCATAATCAAAACAAGAAAAGTTGCTGGGGCTGGCCGGGTGGCACAAGAGGTTAAGTGCACACACTCCACTTTGGTGGCCCGAGGTTCGCAGGTTCAGATCCCAGGCGCACACCAACGCCCTGCTTGTCAAGCCATCCTGTGGCAGCATCCCATATAAAGTGGAGGAAGATGGGCACGGATGTTAACTCAAGGCCCATCTTCCTCAGCAAAAAAAAAAAAGGAAAGAAGAAAAGTTGCTAATGCTTTTTACATGATTGAGTTTAGCTTTTTAAAGAAATCTTTAGAATTTGCTGCCAATCAGCCATATTAATGGAATACTTGGGTAGAATGGATAAATAATTGCAACCTATAGAGAGGCCAAAAGTGTTTAACCATTTATTCTATTTCCAACTTCATCATGCTGGATAAACTGTTAAAATAAAAATTAAGATGTTTCTAATAAACAATGATTTAAACAATAACAACAGCAAAAAGGATGAAGGTAATAAAAGAAAAGCAGGAGTAGATACCAACTGGAATAACTAGTTCCTGGAAATGCACAAGGGCAGAGGAGGGGGGGAGGAGGAAACCTCTCAGAAGTCTTTACAGAAAGGTCACACTCTGACACACGCACAGATGAGGCATTATACAAAGCAGATACATTCTGTGATCAAGATCACTTTAGCATGCATTTAAACTTATAGAGAAACCATGTTTTCCGAAGGAATTTAGCCTGTTTTACAAACACATAAGGTGAGCATTACTTCACGCACCTTAGCTAATGTTACAGTGGGTATTTTGAAGATTTATTCATACCATAAATACACTACAGATTTAAATTGGAGCTGAAAAAAATAATGTATCCCTTTGAGTCTTCAAAGAGAACTTGGCTGGGCCTCAAAAGAATGTAAATGGACAAACTTCAATACCCACAGGACAACAAAAGATAACCTTTTTAATCAGAAAAAGCTCCCTAGAACCTAGGAGCATTCCTTGTCTGGGGACAAACCAGACCACAGCTGTTGTTCAAACGGGCCAGGAGTACAGCAGACAGGGCCGGTGGAGCCTGGAGCGTGTGTGACTTCCTACCTAAAATTACTTGTGCCCATTTTACCACAGCTGGGTTGGGCTCCTCTATTTTAAGGTGTGCAGCTACAAATTGCTTAGGAGCATATAATTGCTGTCATTTTCTGGAGCTAAGAGTGTCAGGAGACCTTCCTCCAAGCTTCAGAATGGACAAGTAGTCTCCACAAAATCCCACACTTAATCACCATGCTCTCTACGGTCTAAGTACACAGACTACAAGTAAAATCATACACTGGAGATAGCTATGAAAACATACCACACCAGAATACATTAAAAAGGAAATAAGCAACAAGAGAGATCTCTTACGTATTCTTTTCCACCACCCCTCCCCCCCCCACACACACACATATGACAAAGTTGGGGAAAACCTGACAAAAATCACCATACTAAAGGGTTCTTGTCTTTTCAGGAAATTATATAGAACTGACAGCCGAAATCCTTCCAAGTAATGTCCCACTAATGTTTACCTCTCTGAACATGCTATGCTACTGGAGTAAATCCAACAGAAGGGGCTACTCAGTCCGCTTTCTGGAAACATTAGAAGGGAATTGGTGTGGCTCCCATTTGTACCGGCAGTAGAATTTTCACTGATGTTTAAAAAAGGAACTAAATTTTCAGAGACAAATGAAACAAAATGAAAAGGTATGCCCTTCCACAAAAACTAAAGATAACTTTATCAACGAATGGTCAAGTTGAGTTGTAAGTTACATGGCCTTAAGACATACCTGAAATTTAAGCTGCACAGATTAACATACATGATTTCTACAATCTCATGGCAAAGACCTAACATCTATTTTATTACCAGCAACTTGACACACTAGATGCAGAATACACATTTAGTACTATCATTATCCTTATGCTATTATGTTCCAGTGGTCTACAACATTAACACTTGTTTTGACAGACTTAGTCATTTTAAGAATTAACAAAACACACATACCTTCATTTTCAGAGGCATGACATTTCACTTTCAATACCAGGTCAAAGGTTCTTTCTGGATTTTCCCTAAAAGAAAAAGAATTTTGTTTTATTTCCTATGATAAATAAATAAGCATCTCTATAAAGTTGATACTTTCTTAACTTTAAAAACTAATCTTGTTCTTGTCTCAATATATCTCATGTGACTATATGACCACAACGTAGCAGAAACAACAAAGTTTCTTCCCAGTTCAGCAACTGAAGAGAGCTGAGGCCTAGGAGTTCTGAGACTTCGGGCAAAACATAGAACCTCTGAGCCTGTTTTCTCACCTATAAAGTGCCTTGTTCACTGCAGAGAGCAATTGTGAGGGTTATAAATCAAATAATACAAGTGGCAGTACCTTATAAAGTATTCAGTGCTGGATAAATGTAAAGCATTGCCTTTATCTTATTGAATCAAATCAGAAAGCCAGGATGTTCCTAAGCGTCTCTAACTTTCCCTGCCAACAGAGTCTGACAGCAGGTTCTCAGGCCTTCTTCAAAAGACTTGCAACATAAGTGTAAATGATGAATCCTGGTTCCACCTGGTTCTAGACACCCCAAAACATTCATGATGCTCCTTAAATGTGACACTTTGCATATACTTCTCTTGAGATGTAGTTACCATACTTAAGCATGTTTAAAGCAGCAAACTCTACACGGACTCCAAGGCTAACAAAAAAGGCCTTGTTTTATGTCAATTATCTGTGGGGAAACTGGACATCTGCCTCAATATCAGATTTTCCCAATAGGAACAGTAGTTGCTTTGCTTCATTAAGAAGTTCACTTCTTTACTAAGTTGTCATACATTCAACCTATTCATTGGTTTAATTTCAAAAACCAAATTGAAATCTATTGAGACTTTTTTTTTTTCAAACTATAGCTCTGTTTAACCTCTTTCTGCCAGAAGATAAAAGATGAGGCAAAGTGTGATACCACAATATCCACGTGACCGAAGTGTTAATATATTTCGGTTACTTCTACTAAGGAGACCTCAATGTCTTTGTACAGTGGCAGTTTTTAATATGTACTTCCTTCAAGAAACTCATGCCAGTTTGGCTTCTAAACAAACATTCATTTAAAAAGTTTATTATGAATCTAGAAACATAAGTGACAAGCCATAGAAATTAACTCGCAAACATACATTTCCTCAGCCCTCCCACTATCAACTTGCTTCAGTGGGAATAATCTGGACTCAGGTGACCACCTTCCTCATAATCCAATTAACGTCAAAAAGCATACCCTCTTTTTAAATCACTTACCCTGCCCCCCCATGATGTCAAACACTGAAGAAAATCATTCTAAAGCACATACTTTTCCTATTTCCCTAATATTCTTTAGACTCTCTCTCAGGTGTAAAAGTTAAATACTGGTTCAGTTATACTGTGAAATTTAAAAAGCCTTTCACGCTAATACGGCTATACATGATATTCACTATTTTAAACTGGGGGCGGGGGGCAGGAGCTGTGAAAAGGCAGTAAGGGAAAAAAGAAGGAATTCTTTGCAAAGTAAGTTTCGGGAGAAAAATATAAATCTCATGCCTCTAAGATCCTCAGAACAAAATCCCCACAGTTCTCCAAACTGCTTTTTACCTCTTCTGAAGGAAAATGTCCACTGATGTGCTCAGGCAAGCACATAAAAGACCATCTCATTGGATACCATTTTGCAAGCACCATGCCCTATAAAAACACACCTCAGAGGACACACAATTTTAAAAGAAGAAAGCATCTGAGGCGAACCGATAAATACACTGAAAATGAAAGGTTTCTCTTCCTGCCAGGAAAACGCTTCGAATAATGACCGCTTAACCTCAAGGCTGACTCCCCGCGGAC